ACTATATATTTTAAACTCAAAAATTCTGTATTTTTCTTCATTTGTCATACTTGTGTTTTAAATTCTTAATGTACTCCAAATACAGTCATCATTTCAAGCAAAAATTCAACTTTATGTTGCCTGTTGTAACAAAAAAGTCACAGTTTCAAGCCATGGTGTTTAGAATTATTAATATTTTTTTCAAAATATTTTTGCTTACTTTTTAGCAATTAATTTCAGTTAAACTGCTTCAAGCRCGCATTATCAATGCTTTACCCAACTTATTTATTATTTTTACTCATAATTAATATTTATTGTATTTCTTATATATCATTTCTCTAAATGTTTATTTATTATATGATCTTGCTTGATAATATTCTTTTCCATTRTCCTTTATAAACTCGTTTCTTTTTCCGTTCTCAAAAAATTTTGCGTAAATAAATTACACATTTGCAAATTAATTTCATTTTAATTTTGCCGCATTTATTTTTAATTTGAATCAACTCAGCGCTAGAAGTTMATTTTTTTAAATCATCAAATTTTGTTGTTTTCTTTTAATTTCAGAATTTTTTCCGCTTGCAATTACTACGAACGCACGCACACGCATACCAACACATCGTAGCACAATCATCTGCCGGCTGACTGGCCAAATTGGTCGAACAAAAATTGTTTAAGGGTTACTTTGAAGAGGTTAGGTAAAATTTTGGTCAATATYTGCACTTAACTATGCATTTACAACTATTTTTGGACTAGTTCGAAAATACATTTTAGAAATCCTATAGTTTYGGTATGTTCTTTTAGTTTAATTTTATTATTTTCAAGCATTTTCCACACAATTCRTTTAAGAGTAGTGCAATATCGATATATTTATACGCTAGAGTTGCCATCTAACTTAATTTGTTTGATTCATAGTTCCTCAAGGATATACAATACAGTGAAGAGTTGACGAAACTAAAGCAATAAGTATATAAATTCTTATTAAAGAAGAACAAAAAAAATAAAAATAAAAAGTGTACAAAATGTTGAAAGTGATTTTTTTGTTGCGATCACTTTGGTATATATAACCCCTGTCTCTTATACACATCTAGATGTGTATAAGAGACAGCATATACATATATAAATACAAATACAAATACATA